TAAGAAAATATTTTCTTGTCAAATTTACATTAAAAAAATCAGTGTTCCCATTATTTTGGGTGCGTGTGTCGAGCATTTGTACACCACACATTTTCCATTAAATTATTGCTTTCATCGCTGTATTAAAAAATAAAATGGATCCACTGAAAAGATTCAGAACCTAAACTTTTTACTATTAAAATCTCCACTTCTGTTTCTGTTGGAGATTTTCTATCCATTGCTGCATTGTTTAATCTCCAATGGTTAATTATAAATAAGCTTCAACATTTTTTTAATCTTGACGCATTTCAATTTCTCTTCTTACTTTTCTCCCACTATTGAGAACTTTATCCTCCCCTGAAAAGATGCCGCCACTCAAAAATCTTCTATCTACATTAGACAAATTGACATTATATACCACTAACTTATATGAGAGAAAGTGTCTTCCAACAAAGACTTGTAAAAGCTAACAAGTATAACTTGGGATTTTAGATTTAAGTTTTATTATGTTAGAGTTTGATTTAATTTTATGTTAAATTTATTTATTTAAATTTTATTAATTTATTAATTGATTATTTAGTAATTTTTATAAATATAATACTCGATTATAATTATAATTTCTCTTGTAATTGTAATTTCATTCAAAAAAAAGTATGATAACCTAAGTTTTAACTCAAGTGATAGATTTTCTCAAAAAATATTATCGGTTAAACTTTTTTTAATACTAAACCTCTCTATTATGATATTATTTTATTTTGGATGACCGATTATTCTATATAATAAAAACAAACTCAACTATTAGATGTAAATTATAAGAAAATGAAAAGTTAACTTATAAGATATATTCTTTTGCAAATCAATTTCCAAGCATTAGTAACTTATTGGACAATTCTGTCCATTAATTCATATGGAAAAAAGGTAAAAGTAGTGGGAATTTATTTACTATTAGAGCTCATATTAATGTTAATCTCACATTGTGAAAAGAGGCAACTCTTTGACAGATCCTTTTATCTTCATTTGGATGATAGTGATGTCCACTGAAATGTTGTCTGTTCTTAGCAAACTAATAGCTTCAAAACCAAGGTTTATTTATTAATTGTAGATACATAGAAATTATAAGCAATCTTGATCCTTAAGGAAGAATATATAATGACAGAAATTAGAAACATAAGAGATAATGCTTTCTTGGCTTTCTCCGCAAATCAGGAGTTCTTCAGGCTTTGGTTTGGACGTCTAGGGCAGAGAAGCTGAGTCTAAATCCAAAAAAGGAAAAAAAAAGTATCACTTAATACTCAAAGCGGACATGAAAATGGACAATGGACGCCACCGAGGTTACTCATTTTTTGGCACATGACCCCGGCTTTTGGCCCACTATTTTGTGTCTGGCAATGTGATTTAACTGCTAGCACTCATCAGGTGACTCAAGGTCAAGCATTATCTTAATTTCTCCTTTTTCAGTTCACCAAAAAAATGGTATTTGTTGAGCCAAATTTTGGTCCTGTGTATAAACTGCTTTGATTTTGATGTCTTGTAGTGATATTAGTCTGTGAAGAAAAAGCTTGGTCGACTATCGTAGAAAAGCCAACAAAAGTAAAGTAGAAAGCCAAAACCTTTGCAATTGCCCCATTAAAATCACTTCATAAACAAAAAGCTGTCATTTGCTTGGAATCTGTGTGCCATCTGCCCATGGTGTATCAATTCAGAATGGGATTCTGCCACTTTTGATTCCTAGAATTGGAATATGACCAGCCCTGATGTATAATATGATTAATAATTATTCTTTTAAACAAAAGCAAGTTTTGCTAATTAAGGGATTATTCTGGTTTCAAAAATGGCTTTAACAGTATCATACCAAAGCAAGGATTCTGCTATAGCAGTTGCAATTTCATCACCATTTTTAAATATACTTTTAACACTTTCTGCAATATCGATCCATTTATGATATGCTTGTGTTTAGCCATGTGCTCATGAAAATGGGGTTAATTTCCGAAAGTGAGCGTATATAGGGATGGAATTTTACAGGTTCTGGTTAAAATCACCAAAACCATCATCTCGAAACAGTCCATTTCTGAAGGCTCATATATATATATATATAAATATTTATATATATATTATATTCCTTAAGTACGTAGCTCAAATATTGATATGTCAAGTACCATATCTAATCAAATTCAATTGCACTCTAGATGAGTAAATTAACACAACCTTTCATGATATGATTAGCAAAGAGTTGCAAATAAATCAAATAAATGAAAATAGAAAAGCAGGGTTGATATTTATTATTTTTTATTTATTTGAGTTGCTAATAGGTGAGATTTAATGGCAATGAAAAGGTTTTAGAATTATGAGGTTTTAGGTTTAAGTGATATGGGTTTGATTGTTTTGTTACGTTTTAATTAATTGATTAATTAATGAGGAAGAATTAACTTACACAGTATAAATTTTAAAAAAATTATATATTTTTTTAATTATTAATTTTAATAGATTTAAAAAATAAGATAAACAAACAAAAAAAAATCTAATCTCATCATTTGGATATAATGACATTAACGGTTAAAAAATATATAAAACAAAAAAAAAGTTACATTGCGTAAATTGATCTTTTTTAATTATTCAGTAATATATTATATATGAAAATAATAATTGATTATAATTATATAACTTTCTTTGTATTTGTAATTTCATGACAAGTTAATAAACTCAGTAATTTGGTGAAGATATTTATGAATAATCAGAGTTATGAATTAACAACGTGGTATTTGAACAATATATGGGTTTTGATAATTGAATTCTCTAGTCAATATGGGTAAACATAATTATGAATTATATTTAGTAATAAATAAGATAGTTTGAAATGGTCATTAAAGAAAACCGGTAAGTGTCAAGGCATAATATGTAATTAAATTGATTAGATAGTTGAGATATCAATTGAATTACGGTATAGCGTATAGGATTGCTAAGCAAAAATAATTAAGCATTCCATTTTGCTATAAGAAAAAGAATTTGGAATTAAAAAGGAGCTCACATGTGCTTTATGCAAATTGGGAGCGACAATAAAGAAGAAAGGTCTTTCCACATGGATATAATACGATCATACTTGATAAAAAAATTTCAAAAGAAAATAATCTCATTAATTGTTTTGTTATTATTATGTAAGTGATATTATTTAGGTTGATCTTTTTGTAATTATATGTTTTAATTTATTTAAATTAAAGTTTAAATCAAATACTTTCTTAATCTTATATAATTTTTTAGCAAAACGAAGTATCAAATAATAATTTGAATAAATTGCTTGATAAAATACAAATTCAAACATTTAATTGTGAATTTTTGTTATAAACACTTCACTAAAGTAGTGTTATAATTGAGTGGATAAATATATATTTCATACAAAAAAAAAAAATAAATTTGATATATTATCAATGAATAAATCATATATATATATTGTTAATAATTACATGAATAATATTATTTTATTAATAAATTAAATTATATAATGTCATTTAATAAATTTTTTAAAAATATTAATTTTTATATATTTAATTTTAAAAATTAATATTTATTTATTAATAAAATAATATCATTTATTTATTAAAACTATAATTAATTTATATTCAGATAATACATCAAATCTAAATTTAAATAAAAATTTCAAAATACCATCAAAACCTTGATTAAAAAAAATCAACCCAACATCCACAATAACAAAAAAAAAAAAAAGAATATAGCTGAAAATATCAGAAGATTTTTTCAACAAAAAACCGCAAAGAAAAAGCTATAAAAATGCAATTACAATAGGGAAGAAATTGTGGTTTAGTTCGAGTAGATTTCAGAAGTTAAGAATGTGATATTTTGCGTTAATTTGAATTTTAAAGAAAGAGTTGCAGAAAGAGAGGGTTTCGACTACCTAAAAGAAAAAAAAGAAAGAGACCAAGCTACCAACGATTGAGGGAGGCTTGAGAAAACAAATTTCGACTGGAGAAGCACAGAGAACTCCGTAGAGGAATAAATAGGGAAATGGGGAGGAAGCCGGCGACACAAGCACAACCATTGACGCCTAAATGAAGAAAGCTTAAAGAGGATGGAGGCCTGACTACAACATATGGTTTGAGAGGTGGGAGGAAAGAAAAATAGGGAAGGATTTGATGATTAGAAGTATAATTAAAATTAATATCAAAATTAGAATGAGTGGGCTTCCCGGTAACGGTAGCCCATTAAGCTTACCAAGGGTTGAAGCTAGAAAGCCAATTAAGCTCAAGGGCTTAGGAAAAAACAAATTTTGGTAAAAACATTTTTTATTAAATAAAAGTAAATAAGTGTGAAATACAAATATACATTTATTAAATAATGTTAATGTCATAAGTAATTTTTAAATTATAATAAAATATTTAATGTAATATTTGAATTTTTAAATTTTTTTGATAAAAATTTTTTAAAATTTTTAATATAGTATCTAAACTATATATCTATTAAATTATTTTTAATTATTTTTTAAGAAAGATTTTGATTCAAATTATTAAAGTTTCTTGATGAAACTTCAAATAGCTTTTAAAATAAAAAATTTTGATATTGACATTTTCACATAATCCAATAAAAAATAATATTCATACTTCTTCTATTTATTAATTAAATTTTTTAGAAAATATATATTTATCAAGAGCTTAAAATTATTACTATTAAGAGGAAATAAAATATTTTTTTTATACTAATTGAATAAAAATTTTCATTCACATTTTTTAACAATTCTTCCGTCATGCAGTGAGTAATTTTTTAGTGAGCAATAAATTTATGATAATAAATCATAAAGTAATAATAGTTATATTAATTTTATTGACAAATACCTTTGATTGGGATTAGGATATTAATCTTTGTTTAAAATTACAACATAAAACAAAACCAGCTTTAAATCCCAACATAAAAACATTGCACAGCATTTTCCCAAGACGCAAACAAGCCAGCTGTGGTTTAACATTTGTATCCAATGAACAAATGCCATCGTCCACTGCCGTTTCTCTATTAAAGTGAAAAAAAAAAAAAAAACCACCGAAATACAAAGCTCTCTTCCTTCACCCCAAAATTCCCAGAGAATTTCTTTTCTCCCCATCAATCCTTCAACCTAAAAACCTCCTAAATTCCAATGCCACATCCCATCAAATAACCCGAAATTATCAGACCCCGAAATTTTCTTTTCCTCCATACTTTGCAATGTCAGGTCCATCACTCATGGATTCCCTGTTTCAGCGCAGTTTAGAGGACCTAATCAAAGGCCTAAGACAACAACTTATCGGTGAACAAGCTTTCATTTCCAAGGCTCTGGAAGAAATCCGTAAAGAAATAAAATCCACTGACCTCTCAATCAAATCCACAGCTCTCCTCAAACTCTCCTACCTTTCCTCCCTTCACTTCCATGACATGTCGTTTGCAACTTTCCATGCGTTGGAAGTCCTCTCTTCCCCTCGCTTTTCCCACAAAAAAATCGCTTACCATGCAATCTCACTTTCCTTCCATGATTCCACCCCTGTTCTTCTCCTAATAACTAATCATCTGCGCAAGGATCTTACAAGTACCAATGAGTTTGAAGTAAGTTTATCTCTTCGTTGCTTATCTAAAATTGCTAATGTTGATCTTGCTAGAGACTTAACCCCGGAAATTTTCACTTTAATGTCTAGTAATAAACTTTATGTTCGAAAAAAGGCAGTAGCTGTAGTGTTAAGGGTTTTTGAGAAATACCCAGATTCTGTTAGGGTGTGTTTTAAACGTTTAGTTGAAAATTTAGACAATTCTGATCCTCAGATATTGTCTGCTGTTATTGGGGTGTTTTGTGAACTTGCTTGTAAAGATCCCAGATCGTATCTACCGTTGGCACCTGAGTTTTATAAGATTTTGGTTGATTCCAAAAACAATTGGGTTTTGATTAAGGTGTTGAAGATTTTTGCTAAGTTGGCTCCTTTGGAACCGAGGTTAGCAAAACGGGTTGTTGAGCCGATTTGTGATCATATGAGGAGAACTGGGGCGAAGTCATTGTTGTTTGAGTGTGTTCGGACTGTCGTTACTAGTTTGAGTGAGTATGACTCTGCTGTGAGGCTTGCAGTGGGGAAGGTTCCGGAGTTTTTGGTGGATGAGGATCCGAATCTTAAGTATCTTGGCTTGCAGGTGCTTTCAATTGTAGCACAGAAGCACTTGTGGGCGGTGTCACAGAATAAGGAAGCTGTGATTAAGTCATTGAGTGATGCAGATCCTAATATTAAGATTGAGTCATTGCGTCTTGTGATGGCAATGGTGTCTGAATGTAATGTGACTGAAATTTCCCGAGTTTTGGTCAATCATGCTCTTAAATCTGATCCTGAGTTTTGTAATGAGATTCTTGGTTCTATTTTATCAACTTGTTCCAGAAATGTGTATGAGATTATTGTTGACTTTGATTGGTATGTATCACTTCTAGGGGAGATGTCCAGAATCCCACATTGCCATAAGGGAGAAGAAATTGAAAATCAGCTAATTGATATTGGTATCAGGGTCAAGGATGTTAGGCTAGAACTTGTTCGTGTCAGTCGTGATCTGCTCATTGATCCTGCTTTACTTGGAAATTTTTTCTTGCATAGGGTATTATGTGCTGCTTCTTGGGCATCTGGAGAATATGTTAAGTTTTCAAGGAACCCATTAGAACTTATGGAAGCACTATTACAACCTCGCACTAGATTGTTGCCGCCATCTATTAGGGCAATTTATATTCAGTCTGCCTTTAAAGTGTTAGTTTTTTGCCTACATACTTACCTTATGCAAAGGGGAAGCACTTTTTCCTCTACATCTCCAGATAATTTGCCTTCAGTAGTTTCAGCATCTGTGTCTGATGAATCATTTGACAATCTGTCGGTTGAAAATGGTGTAGATGCAACTGTTACACATGGCCAGATATGTACCCCTGCTTTTATCACCAATGAATCTATTGTAAACCTATTGAATATGGTTGAATTGGCTTTGGGCCCACTAGTTGGAAGCCATGATGTGGAAGTACAAGAGAGAGCACGGAATGTGCTTGGTTTTGTTGATTTGACAAAACTAAAATTTCTTAATTATTCAGTCCAAGAGGAAAATGATTCAGAGGGAAAAGGAGTGGAAGCTTCCAATATCATTGAACTGATGCATGATGCCTTTTCCAAGGAGCTCGGTCCCATTTCTTTAAGCGCTCAGGGAAATGTTTCTCTGCCAGATGGTTTAATAGTTAAGGAGAACCTTGGCGACTTGGAAATGATCTGTTGTGATATTGAACTACCTTCATCAAACTCATTTTCTTTTGGAAGTCCTTGTGAGGAGAAGGATGGTGTTTCTTTCTCTAACCTTCAAATCAAAGAAGACTCTGAACAATCAAATGAGTCCACATCTCTGTTAGCTGAGCATCGTAAGCGCCATGGGTTGTATTATCTTCCTTTGGGGAAGAGTGAAATTTCAAATGATTATCCTCCTGCCAATGACCCCATATTACAGGGTAATATCAATGGTAATGCTGTTGATCTTGTTAAAATTACAGAGGAATCACTTGTCCCAAAGAGAAAACCAAGTCATGCCAAGCCTAGGCCTGTGGTGGTGAAATTGGATGAAGTAGATGAGAAACCTGTTGCATTGAAGAAGTTTGAGTCTAAGGATGATTCGCTTTCAGGAGCTGTGCGTGATATTCTTTTTGGTAGTGAAGATATGGTACCTACTTCATCACAAAGCAACCTTTCCGATAAGTCATCTAGCAAAAGAAAAGGGAAGGAAAAACAACATACAGCTCCTCATGTGGAATCAAAAGAAAATTTAGTTGACGATGGAAATCCCAGTTCAAGAAGGAGAAAGTACCGTAGTCATGGTAAAGAGAGAAGACATAGAAGTCCAAGGAAGAAAACTGCTGAGGAAAGAGAAGGTCAGAAAGAAAAAGAGAAGAGTAGTCATCGCCATGGCAGGCATAAATCTGGACAAAGAGCTGAAGAGCCTTTGAATGTTTCTGCACAAGCACCTGTGATTCCAGATTTCCTTTTATAGCAATAATTTTTTTTTATCCTATAATCATAAACTGCTTGAGAGAAACTGGCTGATAATATCCCCTGTATTCTGCCTTCTTGCATACAAAGGTTAGTTCTGCTGTAAATTTATACTCTCTGTTTTTGTTTCAGGTTTGCGGTTTAATAGAAATTTTAACGCTGCTGTTGGTTTTAGATTATACTCACTTGAAATTCAATTTTGTGAAGTAAAGTTTCAATTTCGAAACATTCTATCCCCTCAGATCTAAAATGAATATATTTTCTATATGTTTACGTTATTGTATTATTTTGCTTGAACTTTCCTTTTCTTGCAACCTCATCGTGAGTACTAGGTCATCAGGATATAATATCTACATCTTTTGTGCATGTACTTTATGTTAGATGTTGAAATCATCAGCATCATAATTAACATTATTCAATAAACGAATTATGGTTTACTCACCAGGATATAATATCTACATGCTGTGCATCTACTTGTCTTAGATGTGGAAATCATCAGCATCATTGTCACATTATTCAGTCAACAAGATGGGCTTTATCGACTCAATGCAACAGATATAGTTTACGTTACCTTATAGTGGGTCGCATGCTAACAATCTAAAGGTTTCATTTAAGGTTACTGCTGATATTTTCTATGATAATGTTGAGGACTTCATATTGAAATTGTGGTGTTTTTGCTCTCGCATTACCTCCCTTGCATGAGACGTCATGTAGGCTCACCCTGCTGGTTTTGCTGGAATGTTACAACTTGGTTGGAACAGAACTCTGAAGGGGAATCAAGTGGCAGTGTAATGCTCAATCCAATCCGCTTTCTCAGTTATAATTAAAAAATTATGTTGCTCCAAAATAAAATTTAGCTCATCTTTTGGAAGCTGCTAATAGTTTGTTGTAGGAATCAACTGGTTGAGGTTAGTTTAGCAGCATGACTTTTGTTATTGCAATTATTTTGTCACATTTTCTTGTGTACAATGTTGAATTTCAGATATTGTTAACATTCTCATGGAAAGAATTTCATTTAGCGTATCCTGAAGCATTTAAACTGTCTGTTGAGATCTGTGGATGTTTGCTGTTGGAAACAAACCCCTCGTGTCATTCCTGTAGTATAACCTTATATGCATGCATGCATCAGAAAAAGTCATGCATACAAATATATAATGGAATCTGTTGCATTTTCTTTATAATGGCAAAAGAATAAGAAAGTGGAATTCTATCCTAATTTACATCTTTTTATTATGCTATAAAAGATTGTTAATTACCTTATAATCTTTGGCAAAAGGGTTGAGTCTTATAACTTGAACTTAAGATCTTAACTTCACCTGCAGACTGACCTTTGGATTTATTAGCATGACAATGGAGCTGAAATTTGGAAGACGTAGGTTCGAATGAATTTATACGTGTGAATATAAGGGTAGAGGATTCAAGAATATATTAAGAACTAAAAACATAAAAACTTTTAACTTCATACCTTGTCTAAGTTACCACATGACATAAGCTAATTATATTATCTTCACTTATACATATGATGTTTTAAAAATAAATACAATTACCATATTGTCCATCTTTAATTAGACAACCAAAAATAAGTTGAGAAAATTCAGGAAGTTTGACGTTAATAAGTCTAAAAGGTATATATAAATGATCAATTTTGATTTGAATTACATTAAAAACTAAGTCATAGTTTAGATATTTCTTAATTAAAAATTTAATATGTTGCTGGTAATACAAATTATCACTTCATATGCAATTTACTAATTTAAATGTTATTGATGATATCAAATAAATTAATTTTGTGTTTGAATTCGTTAAACTTTGTGCCTATGATTTACGTACAAATTAAGGCATACGATATCCTTTGCATGTGTATTCCATTCCATCTCAACTTTCGTTTCAATGTTTTACTATAGATTCCATAAAAAAAACAAAACGTTAAATATAAAAATAATCTTTGAATTATATATTTTTTGTTAATTTAATATCTAAAGACATAAAATTGTTATATCGATACTTAAACTTTTATTCCATTATTAAGTTAGTACTTGAGATTAATGTCATTAATTAATATTTTTAACGTGATATGAACATTCAATAAAATGCTAATATGTATTAAAGAAGTTCAGTCAATGTCACATCATCAATACCACTTCATAAAAGAAATTTCAAATTTTTTTTTAAAATACTAAAAATTAAAAAAAATGCTAAATCTAAAAAATTTTTTAAAAAATTTTAGAAATTGTAAAAGATTTCAAAAATTTCAAAAAAAAAAATTTTTAAAAATTTAAAAATTTAAAAAATTTAGAAAATGTTGAAAATTGTAAATATTTTTATAAATTATAAAAATTATGATAATTTTAAAAATTAAAAAATTCTAAAACATTTAATAAACAATCCAAAAATTAAAAAAAATGAGAATTTTAATCAAAATTAAAATTTATTAAAGTTTAAAAACATAAAAAACTGAAAACTAAATAAAAATTTAAATTTTTTGAAAAATTTTGAAAATTAAAAAATATAAAAATTTTTGAAAAATTCTAAAAATTTTAAAAAATATTTAAATAAATAAATAATTTAAAAAATTTGAAACATTCTAAAAAAATTAAAATTTTCGTAAAATAAAAAATTCAAAAAAATTAAAATTTAAATTTTAAAAAATATAAAAAATTAAAATTGCATGATTCAAAAAATATGAAAGTGTTTCAGAATTTTTTAAAAAAATTTATATTTTTTCAAATAATTTATATTTTTTATTTTAACTATTTTTAAATTTTGTAAATGTTTTGAATTTTAAGAAATTTTTTTTAAATCTTCATTTTTTTGAATTTTTAGAAAATTTTTAAAAATTTTAGGAATTTTTTAAAATTTCAAGATTTTTTGAAAATTTTTAAGATTCATAATATTTTAAGAATTTTTTTAAATTTTTTTTGAATTTTTTAAAAAATTAAAAATTTTATAAAATTTTATAGATTTTTTAGAATCTTTTTGAAAATTTGTTTTAATGATGATATGGCATTTATGATGTAGCGCTAACTAATTTTTATTTTTTTTATACATGTTAGCATGATGACTAATAATATTAGTTTAAGGTACTAACGTAATAACGGAATAAAATTTATATATCAATTCGACAATTTTAGTTTTTAAATACTAATGTGATAAAAACTATATAATTTAGAAGTCATTTTTTTATTTAACTCCAAAAAAAAAAAAAGGTTTAGGTTCTTTGTAACCTGTGTCTTGTAGCAATTTCTCAGTTTCTGTCCCACGGAGGCAAAGGCAATGGGAAGTGAAACTCAAAAAAAAAAAAAAAGCTATATTTTTGCCAAGCTTATAAGTTCCCATTTGCATTTAGCTGATCATTTTCATGATGTGTCCTTCGTTATTGATTTGTCCCTAGGAATTACATTTCATTCCAATTCCCATTTACATATAGCTTCATCTCTTCTCATTTAATTAATTTCATCCTTGCAATCCTCACTACCACAACCACCACCACCCTTTTTGCCGCACGACATGGATAGTGGCGAGCATCGTTTGTTCCGATCATTTGAGAATGTTCCCTAAAATTGCTACTTTGTCTGTCATTGACCTACCGTCACAAATTGTACTATACTTGACCAAGACTACATGTTATCCCACATCAGTTGTTAAAGATCATTTGGAAGTTTCAAAAATAAAATATCTTTTCCAATTAGTAAGATTTTTTTTTTCTGAAGAAAAATAGAAGGGTTTGAATTAGCTAAAACAGCATATATAGCTCCATTTCAAGAATCAAGATCTAATCAAAGCAAAATTATAAAAGAATAACTTGCTTATGTATAGCTAATTATAACTTGATAGCTAGGGAAAGGTTGTTTTTTTTTTTTTATTATTATTATTATTATAAAAGACACGGTGATGGTAGTTTGGCTCCTCCAAGTCGTTAACTGTTTAGAAAACTAAATATGATAGGAATATAACATATATGTCTACTTTTTTGTTATTATAATTAAAATGAGTGTATAATATATAAGAAGTAGAAGTTTGTGTAATTTTTTTTCTGATGAAAAAGAACATTTTATTGGTTTTATATCTAAAATCCCACTATAAATTTAAAGAAAGCAATTCAATATAAATAAATTTCTTTTTTATTTATCACGTTAATTTTATTATAAATTAATTATTTTTATTACAGCATGTGTGTAATATATAAAAATTATAAATATAATAATCAAACTATTCTTATGATCAATTACATGAAAAAATCATATAAATATCCAAAATAACTTATTTTTCTTAAATCTTTTTTCTGGTTAAAATATTTAACATGATTACGATTAGAAATATTGAGGAAATTAATTAATATAATATTTTAATAATTAACTTAAACTTCTTCATCCATAATCAATCTAAAGGGAATCCTATTGTAAATGAAAAAGAAAAAGAAAATTGCAATGAAATACTATAGGGGAGAGATAAATTCATAAAACAGAAAAAAAAAAAAAAAGAAGAATAGATATAGTCAGAAGCATTAACATCTCAAACGAGAGTCGATCATCAAAGGAGATAATAACATATAAATTTTTTTTTGGGTGCAAATCAAGGAGATAATCTGGGAATAAATTCAGTCAAGGGAAAATATAAGTAAGGTATGGAAATCTGATGACTTTTTCAATTTTTTTCGTTCCATATTTTTTTATTATTATTTTTTCATATGTAGTTTGCAAACCAATAATTTCTGTTCCACATTCCAACTTTTCTTGCGTCAATCAATCATTCCAAATTCCATGTTCTTGTTTATTATATCAAAACGATTTTTTTAGTAAAATTTTTCTATCAAAAGAATACTTTGAAAACTTTATATATAGAAAAAATTTTCAAACAATAAAGTATAGATTTGTTCTGAAGTCTAAACAAGCAAAACAATCTTTCAAAATTTTTAGTTTTATTCTCACAAAAGAATAAATTATGCATTTTATAACTATGAACAGAGATAAAAATGTATTAATTGTTTATAAATAATTGTAGGTTGCAAAAGATGATAAAAAGAAGCCTAAACAAAAATGAAATTAATTAAATATGACTTTGATTTTCGTAAAATTCTAGTTGCACTTATTAAAATTTTCTATTCTTATTATTTTTATATTCTTTTGTATGATATATATATATGTATTTAATTAAAAAAAAATTGAATCAGATTCTATAAGTATACACATATAAATCTGATCATGTCACGAAATATATATATATATTTATTTTTAATAAAATTATATAAAATTTTATTAAAATTTTAAATTGTATATTTTTTGTGCTATTTTCATATTAATTTTGGAGAAGAAAGCAAGTTTACTTTTGTAGTTGTAACTCAAAAGAATTTGTCCCACTCAGACTCTCTCATATTAACAGCAAAAGATAAACTTCATTTTTTCACCAATAAAACAATATCCCTCTCCTTATAAAACAGTAAAACACCCCCAATTAGAAGGTAAAAAGAGAGAAAAAGAAACAGCTGATCTCAATCCCTCTTCCTCATTGGCAATGAAGAATATGGTGGAGCAGCACCGTCCACAAATATCCACCACCAAGCTTCTCAATGCACATAATCAATTCAATGATATTGTTTTCCGTTTTCTTCTCTTTGGTTTTGGTTTAGGCTTGGGGATCACTATCGGTTTCTTCTATTTCAAAGATAGTTTCATGGATTTCCAACTCGACCAATTCTCCGTTTCCCGTGTTTCGGTTCTCATTAATCCTCCTCCGCCACCTCCACCGCCACCACCACCTCCATCTCTTCCCTCCATTTCCAATCAAACTAAGAGCCATGTCGAAAATCGCATGTCGGCTATTGTGATTGAACCATCCTCTCCGATTGCACAACATCCTGCACCAACTTCGTCGATCGACACCGTTTCAATCCGAACCAGGGATTACATAAAAGAATTTTTTGAACCGCCGGAGACTATGCATAATATGACGGATAGGGAGTTGTTTTGGAGGGCGTCCTTGGTTCCGAAAATCCAAGAATTCCCAATCAAACGAGTGCCCAAAGTTGCATTTTTGTTTTTGACGAGAGGAAAAGTAGTATTAGCTCCACTTTGGGAGAAATTCTTTCAAGGACACCAAGGCTTTTACTCCATTTACGTCCATTCTCATCCTTCTTTCAATCAAACAGTGCCCAAGAGTTCGGTGTTTTATGACCGCCGGATTCCTAGTAAGGTCAGTTCATCACAAATTTCCATATTCATTTAAATCATTTTGCATAGCTAATTAACCTTGGATATTACTACTTTCACTGTGCAATTATTTTTCAACCATTTTTATACTACTTAATTTGTTAAGTTAATATTCTCTCTCTTTTTTTTTTTTTTTTTTTCTAAATAACAGTTTTTAGCGTAGATGATAATAAATTTGGGAATGAAAATGTTGAAAAAATTGTGATTTAGGCTATGATTACATTATTTTCGTCGCATCAAAAAAGGCAAAATCATAAAACGAATATTTTGATAAGATTACATAAAACCTTAATTAGCATGATATAGATTTTACAGTAAAAGGAGAAAAAAAAGGAACTTTTGTTTTGATGCTGCATTAAACAACGGTCGTTTATTATAGTAGTAATATGACGATTGTCTAATGTAAAACCAACTTCAAAAGAAAGAATAAAAATTAACAGCTCAAATTAATAGGGCAAAAAAAAAAAAAACAGCTGAAATTAAGAGCATATTATTTATGCTTTATGGTCCGTTATGAGGTTGGTATTAAGAATTTGAGGCCAATCAAAACTGTGAAAATAAATGCTATATATGAACTGTTATTTTCTGGAATATTTCGATTAGGGGCTCTTGCCTAGCATAATTCTTCTAACTCTTCTAATAATTATATATTATAATTTATATATGTAAATGCAAATATTTTCTACCTAAATAATAAGTGATATTCAATAATATTATGTTTGAGAAGATGAATTTGAGAAAATAGATATGAATTTAATTTGTTACATAAATTATGAAAAATGTCCACACGATATAGAAATTACTTAAGATTTAATATATTTATATATATGAAAGAATGTAAAAAGATGAAATTCAAATTTATAATATTTTTAAATATTTCAATTTTATCATTAAAGAGGAATTTAATAAAAAAAAATAATTATGAAAGTCATATTTACATTTGCTTTATTACATAATTTATATTAAATTCAAAATTAAAATCTATTTTTTAAAAAATTCAAGTCATCAAATGCAACTTAATTATAATTTATTATAATTTGATATTATTAAATAAAATTAACATGTATAAATTATTATTCAAATAAAAATTTATCAACTATAGCAATTCAATATAAACAATAACACTCTTATCAAAAAGAGATTACGAGCTAGTTTCTTTTATCATTTTAAAGAAATTATAATTACTAGTATGAATCAAACTTCTTTTATGAAACTAGTTCAATCTAATTAGAACTCTTTCTTCTTTATAATATAATTTATATATTTAGTAATTAATAATTATATATAAATATAATAGTCAATATTCTTGTTATCTGTTGAATTGTTGGATAATTTAACATTTCTTTTTAACCATTAACTGGAATGCTTGTTTGTGTGTGTGTGTGTTTTTTTTTTCTCTTTTAGAAGAATATTCATGCATTGCTTTGATTCTACTCCTTTTCCAACTAATAACAGCTGATCTTTTTCTTCTACGTACACAGAATCCTCCTTTTCTCACGTTCTAGCTCCATTTTCTTACATTCCTTTCTTCATTCTTTGAACCATTTATTTGCATGCTTGCAGTTGCAATTGCAATTGCAAACATACACATCTCAAGCATTATATTGTTTGGCCTTGCATCTTTAATACTAACAGTGTTTTTTGAGCATGAATTAATGTAGAACGTGAGATGGGGAGAAATGAATATGGTGGAAGCAGAACGCCGGCTATTAGCAAATGCTTTGCTTGATATCTCCAATGAACGTTTCGTGCTTCTTTCAGAATCATGTATTCCTCTCTTCAATTTTTCTACTGTTTATGATTATCTCATAAATTCGAACAAATCTTTTGTGGAGACATATGATTTACCAGGGCCAGTAGGTCGTGGTAGATACAATGAGCAGATGGAACCTGTGGTTAACATTGAGCAATGGCGAAAGGGCTCTCAATGGTTTCAGATTGATCGATTTCTTGCCATTGAGGTAATCTCGGACCGAACATATTTTCCCGTATTCTGGAATTATTGCAAAGATGCATGTTATGGGGACGAGCATTACTTGCCAACATTTGTTAGTATGAAATTTTCGGAGAGAAATTCAAATAGAACTTTGACATATGTGGATTGGTCCAAGGGAGGACCTCATCCATATAGCTTTCTTAGAGAGGATGTCACCCAAGAGCTTCTGGACAAGTTAAGAAATTCCAACCGTTGTGATTATAATGGAAGAGAAACCGACATTTGCTACTTGTTTGCAAGGAAGTTTTCAGCAAATGCTTTAGAAAGGTTGTTGAGATTTGCTTCAATTGTCATCAACATTTAGTTTGTTCAATTTCTACTTTGTATAGTTAAAACTCTTTGTCGACTATTCATTAATTTGCACATCTAGACCAAAAAATTTAGGGCATCATATAAGAATATCTTGCTTTCCTTTTTTTTTTTTTTTTTTTGACATTTGATGGCTAATCTTTTCTATGAGCGGGGTATAAATATATTACTCATATGTTGCATTACATCTTATTCCATAATATAGGCTTGTTAACAAATAGTTCTACAACTTATAAGTAATATTTTTAAGAGAAATTATATATTGTTAATAGAGTTTTTTAACTTCATAAATGAAGTTAATAAGATGACACATGTCTCTATTTTTTAGATTAACTTTTTTTAAAAAATATATATATACTAAAAGGTATGTGTAACTCTATTTTTAATGTAATTGGGTTAAAAATGTTACAAATTGTATTTATATTTGTATTTATAAAGTTACAAATTGTTGGGTTAAAAAAGATAGAAACATATCACCTACAGTTGTTGTTGTATAATTAATTACTCAAAATTAAACATTATGTAGGGTTTATAAAATTTTTTTATAGAACCATATTTTAAAGTGATAAATTCTTATATAATTTTTTGCTGTGATTAATTAATTATAGGATTATAATATAGATATTATAGGAGAAACACTTCCATAAAAGGACATCAAGATTTTTGCCCTATTTACAAGGCATATGGGGCGATATTGCTAATATGGTGCAAAAAATTTTGGATTTGTCTCCTTTCTCCACACTTTTCTTTCATTTACTTCACCTTTAATTACTATTTATATGTTTCATTATCTAAAAATGAAGTATTATTGATAAATATTTTCATTTTTCATTGATAATAATATTATCATAAATATTCTAGAAAAAAAAATCCTAGAATACTTAAGAAAGCTCATGACGAAATGGATAAAGTCATTGGTAGAAACCCAAGGCTTGAAAAATCTAACATTTAAGGAAATCACCAAGAACAGAAAGCAACAAATCGAAATGTAGCAATCAATAAACAAAAGCTAAACAAAATCAAAACTGAAATAAAATAAACAAAAAAAGCATTAAGAATAGATTGTGGAGGAAGATAGAAAAATTACCGAAAAGAGGAAAAGGGGCAAAGAAGGACGCGGGAATAGACCATTGGAAGGCATTGGATGTTCGATCATCAAAAGGTATCAGGAATAGATGTTACAGAGACCACAAGGAAGGACGAGAGTGATAAGTGTGGAGGAAGATAGAAAAATTATCGAAAAGAGGAAAAGGGGCAAAGAAGGACGCGGGAATAGACCATTGGAAGGCATTGGATGTTCGATCATCAAAAGGTATCAGGAATAGATGTTACAGAGACCACAAGGAAGGACAAGAGTGATAAGAGCAGTAGTGGTCGAGGAGAGACAATGTGATGGGGGGAAAATGTTTGGGATTTTAGATTTAGGCTATGGATGGTGAGATTGAAAATAGTAATAAAAGTTATTATAATTACGATTGAAAAAAAAGTTACTATAATTATGATTGAAAAAAAATTCAATAAGAAATTTATGTTGAATGGACCTCATTGGAGTTGACATTTGAATTCAAGTACTAATGTGATGAGAGTGAAAATAGTAATAAAAGTTATTGCAAATGAGATTAAAAATAAATTATTGTAACTATGATTGGAAAAAAAAGTTATTGTATCTATGATTGAAAAAAAATTTCAATGAAAAACTTATACTGAATGGACCTCATTGGAATTAGCATTTAAATTCAACTACTAGTGCCAAAAGTGTGGTGGAATCCAAACCTAAATTTAAAGTATAAATTCCATTGGTAAAAAATGTACAATTGTTACTGCAAATTTTATTTTCACAAATTATTGCTTTTAAATTTAATTTTTTGCACAAAATTAATTATTGATGAAAAATTTTGTTAGTAGTCTATTAGGAAATAGTTGATTGATAGATTATTGAAAGATTTTTCAGTTGATAATTCTCGTGCTAATTTTTTAAGTTCCCTCAAAATATTTACTTATGGATTATCAACTGAAAATTTTTCACTTATAATTTTTGTCGATAATCCATCGATAATCCTTATGGTAATTCTTTATTTTATTTCATCAGTAATTACTTATGAAAAAGTTTTATCTGAATTAAATAAATTTTTGGTAGTGTTTAAGAATTAGGGTTCATAATTTGTGGTTAAGTTCAATGCAAATGAATGGAAATGACAGATGCAGAGAATTTTGAAAAAATATTGACAAGAAGATCCAAGAGTGTGGATCTATTTACATTAATGTAACTTTTACACTTTTTTTATTTTGTGATCAAAATTAAATTCATAACTAATTTGAATCAAAATAATATTTTGAATCTTAGTAGTTTTGATTCAATAATTAAAAAAATGTAAAAGTGATATTAGTATAAATAGATATTTCATCAAGTAGTTACACTTAAGTTATCATACCTATTTAAAACTATACACAACAACGTTTTCTAAATAAATTGAATTTTAAATATTTTTTAGATAAAATCATTTTACAATACATTAATTTAGAATAAAAAAATTTGAGATGTATTGTTTTGGTTATTACCTTTTATAATAAAATTTTAACTACTAAAAAAAATGAGATTGAGGAAATAAATATAAGAGGTGAACAATAGTTTTTCCTTTTTTTAGGTTTAAGGAGTTTTTTAAAAAATTAAAGGTACAAAATAAGTTAAAACCATAATCAAACTTAATTATACACACCAGTCAACAAACTAAAACTTAATTAGACAATTTCAACATAAAATTGAAAAAAATCATATATAGTGGAATTTGAACTTAAGATTTCACGATTCTAAAGCCTTTTTTTATCACTAATTAAGCCAAGACTTGATCTTTTAAATAAGAGTATACATGCATCTAACATTAAGATAAGTGCTTTGACTTGCCCAACAATAAAATCAAAGAATAAAATTGAAGAAAAAATTACTCTTATTAGGGTAAAGCAAACAATTGAGTTGGTTTTTTTAGTAGGTTAATTTCAAAAACTAACTTAACTGATTTAATTTTAAGAATAACCAAATCGACTGACTAAATGTTAGGTAATCAAAATTAATCAAACATATTTAATTCGATTAGCTTAGTCGATTATATCTATTTGTTCTTTGTGTAACAAAATTATAAAAATCACACATTTTTAACTAAGTCTAAGATTTAAAAAATTTACATTGTTGGCCCAAGTCTAACTAATAGAATTTTGGCCCATCTCCAATCATGTCTTAGTTTTCAACAAAAAAAAAAAAAGTTCAAAATGCAAAATAAATAGAAGAAAAAAGCAAAAAAAAGCAAAAAGTAATAGTAATTCATCTAACCCAAAAAAAAAAAAAATATAGTAGTCAGCTCTGCATAGTTTATACAAAGGATGAATGGTGAGGAAATTGCAATGGGTTGCTTCCTTTCAATCAAGATTCAAGATAACTTTAGGTAACGAATTTTAAAGCCAAATCATCAATTTCAACCGAACACATAATCATCAATTTTGATCTTTGGTGGTGGTTGATGGCTATGGTGGGCTGGTCATTGCTGGGTGATTGGTGGCTATTGTTGGCAAGAATGAATGAGATTGTATTGAGAGTTAAGAGGGTTGAGACACTAGAGAGAAATCAGAAGAAAAAACTTAAATTTGGAGGCTAGGGTTCATTCGAGTATATTAAAATGGGTAATAGGTAAGCCAAAAATATAATATATTTATTTTTATTATTTAATTAAATTGATTTTTTTGGTCGGGCCAGTTTCCAAACCCAATCACCTAGAATTGACAACTTAAGTTGATTTACCTAATAGCCTACCCGACATAAGAGTTAAATCGACAAAACCAACTCGAATAAATTGAATTGAATTGGCTCTTGTCGGTGTAGTTAGTTAAAATCGACGAATGCTTTCCCTTAACTCTTATTCTTTTCGATGGAATATATATGATGTTATTATTACACTTTTAAATGATGTTACTAATAATATTAAAGGAAAAATAAAATTATGTATTATAGAAAGAGTTTTTAAATTACAAAAGTAAAAGTTTATGTGATTTTTATCTTAATAAAATACCAAAAGAAATAAAAATAGATAACTCTTTGTAGATACCAAATTTTGTTGAAAAGATTTGTTGGAATTAAAATGGGCTTTCGATTGTAAATTGGGTCTCAATTGGAAAACTTTAGGCCCAAATGGATAAAAACCTACAATTTTAATTTTAATGTTGATTTTGATTTAAATTTAAAATTTAATTTTAATTTCAAGCCTAATTTTGGATTTTAATTTTAATTCCAATTTTATTTTTAATTTTGGTCAAAGGTAAAAAAAAATGTGTTTGAAATTAGTAAAACAAAAATTTAAGGAAAGAAGAAACTAAATCATGGGTAAGAAGCAAAGTTTGAAAAAATCAAATCAGATCATGAATAGAATTAGATTTGTTTAAGGTATATGTGATCTTTGGCATTTAATGAAAATCCCAGAGATTCTTGTACAAAGTCCTATATAAACCCTAATTGGCCAAGCTAGAAAACACACATAGAGAGAAAATATATAAATCATACGAGAAAAAATTGGTAAATCTGGCAAGTAATTTCACGATAAGTAGTAGTTCAAGCAAAATTTTTGAGTTTTGAGACTTTAGAAATTTGGTTCAATTTTTGGTCTTTGGAATTGTTATGTTTTTTGGGGCTTTGCACTTTTTCTATTTTGATTTAATTTTTTGGGTGTTTCTGTAACGTTGAGTTTTTTTAACTACCGACATTTGTGGAATGGACTGTTGATTCTGGAAAGAAATTATTGCTCTGATTCTTTGTTTGGATTTTTCTTGGGATTTTTGGATTTTTGAGTTATTAGTTTGATTTTGGATATTTTGGGGTTTTGGGTTTGATTTTTAAGTTTTTTTGGGAAATTCTGGGTTTGGTTTTGAATTCTAGAATTGTTTGCTAGGTTCTTGTTTAAATTCTAGATTTTTCTGGGTTTTTACTTACATTTTTCAATGAGGATTTGAATT